ACCTATCAAACAATACAACATGTTAGCCAATAACACATATACAGAGTACTCCATCAGTGCGTAATAGCTGTTTTAATATTGGAAATACGAAAAAAAAATTAATTCAGAAGTTGTATCACCATGTTTAATAAATATTCTTAAATATACAAGGTATTACGTAAACGAGAGGTTGACCAAACTTATACATTTTTAAAGTAAGTTATACATATGATGAATATATTAATCGTCCAGACAATAAAACCAAGGCATGTTGGCAAATAATCAATTTCGAAAGAAACAATTTAAAAAGAAATCTAGTAACTTCTGATTTAACATCAAATGAAATAAATACATTTTTTAATACAACTGCTGCAAATATCATAACATCTCTTCCTAATGTTTCGAATGCCGAACTTCTGAGTTTTAAACATTTTCCTATGCCCTGTAGCTCATTTTTCTTCCGCCCTGTTCTTGAGTCTGAAGTTTTTAACGCAATTACTTCTCAATTACTCACGAACTCAATAGTAAAATTTTAAAAGAGACTTGCAATATTATAATAAAACCATTTACTGAACTGATTAATTTAATTTTATCCACTGGTATATTTCCTGAAGTAATTAAATACTCTAAATTATTAGCAATTTTTAAAAAAGGTGATGTCTCGAAAATTGATAACTATCGTCCCATAAGTATTGTTTCAATATTTGGTAAAGTTATTAAAAAAATTATTAAAAAACAATTATGTGAGTATTTTGAATTAAACAACTTCTTCAGCAACTCCCAATATGGTTTTAGACGCTCTCGCTCTACTACACAGGCTGTTCTCAATGTTGTGAATGATGTAGTTGAGGAACTTGAGCAGGGAAATCACACAGCAGTAATGTTGTGCAATCTGTCAAAGGCTTTCGACTGCGTCTCTCATGATATTCTTCTGGAATAGTTAAGCTTTTATGGAGTTATGGGAATTCCGCTTGCACTAATAAATTCATATATCAGTAACAGACAACAAGCTGTGATGAGTAATGGTGTTCTGTCTGACTTTCAGGCTGTAAGGAAAGGGGTTCCACAAGGTTATGTCTTTAGATCTAAGCCGTTTTATGCTACCTAACAAATCAGTTTTATTTGCTGATGATGCAACACTCATCTTCACAGACAAAAATAATAAAAATTTAATTTCTTCGTTTGATGAAATTGCGGACAAAGCAACACATGGTTCTCAACCAACAAATTAAAACTTAAAAGTGAAAAAACTCAAAATATGCAGATATTTGCCAATAATCAAATTATCTCAAAATGTTAAACAAAAAACGTAAAATTACTTGGTATTACATTGGATAACAAACTCAATTGGTCGGCCCACATTAATCAGTTAAAGAAAAAAACTTTCTAGTTCTTTGTTTATTCTTCGCAGTTGAAAAAACTTACCGACTTAAATACCCTCAAAACTACGTATTTCTCTCTCTCTAACTCGCATGTCAGCTATGGTGTACCACTTTGGGGAAACTCTTCTCAATCTATTCAAATTTTCCGGATGCAAAAAAGCTATCAGAATTATGGCTAACATTGGATTCAGAGAACATTGTCAACAACATTTTATTAAATTTAAAATTATGCCACTACCTACTTTATATCTACATCATACACTTGTTGAAATTCATAGGAAACAGTCAGTTTTGCTGAAACAGTCCGATATTCATAATTACAAGACACGTAATTCACATTGTATTAGAAACACTCGTTTTAGGTTATGTCTATCTGAAATAAATTCCCCAAATTATAACTTATTTAACATATTACCGAAGAACTTTAAAAATTTAAGTAATAATGCTTTTAAAAAAACATTAAAAACATATCTATTGAGACATTGTTTTTACTCTGTCAATGATTATGTAGCTCATTTTCGTTCTGTATGAGACATCTCACTGTCACTCTGCCTCATCACAATTTTAACCTTGATAAGTACCTAATAATTATTGTTTTTTTTTTATATTGTTCAAATTCTGGTACTCTAATAATTATTGTTTTATTTGTTTTATTTATATTGTTCAAATTCTGTTACCACCTATGACTTGCTATAAACATAATGACATGTGAAAAAGTTAATAAAATTATTCTATTCTATTCATATTTGATTTTTTTCACATCGCAGTCAAACAATTTTAATAAATTTCATTTATTTGCTATCTTGTATATAGGGTGTGTCAAAATGCGTAGTAATGATTTTTTCAATTTTTTTTTAAATGGAATACCCTATATGTTATACCACCAATTAATTAATAAAGGGTATTCCATTAAAAAATTTGGAAAATCGCTACTTTTGACACACTCTATATACAACATAACAAATGAGTGAAGTCAGTTAAAATTGTTTGACGATGTGAAAACCATCAAAAAGTATTGATTTGGTCAGTACCTCGTTTATGGATAATTTAAGAATAATTGCTAAATATGGTCATATAACTTTTATATTAAAAATTTCATCGTATTACTAATAATAAAACATTTATCAATCAATTACGAACTGATGGGACACCATTATGTGTTATTGGCTAACATGTTGGTATCGTTTGAAGGAATAATATACTAAAATAATATACAAGGCGTTGCAAATGAAAAAATTCAGTAAATTGAACTTAAAATTAGCCATATTTAAGACATGTTTCAAAACATTCTGTAAAAAATAAACCAGTTCTATCACTACTATTCATTAGCTTAGGTCTATATATTAACCAATTTTGAAATCAATGTAAACCTACCTAAATTATGATAATTTAATTTGGGGACAGCATCTTTCTCAAATAAAATATTTTTTAAAAATATTCTAGGGTCTAAGTATTAGCGAACCATTCTAAAAATAAAATACAAGGTGTTCTTTTTAAAAAATATACATTTTTATTTGCCAGGCAAAAACGCAACCCCTGTATATTCAAAAATATTTTTAAAATATGTATTTTACAAATCCATATAACTTTTATTTAAATTTTTTTTGCGTGTCTATAACACAAATTAAAATATTGAACAATTACGCACTAATGGGACACCTTGTATAATTAGGGATAAAAATAGGCAAAGAAGCAAATAAATATTTTTTTTAATACCACAGATTTAGAGTATCAGACCAACCCTTGATTTTAATATTATTAATTTTTGTTTTTTGGAAAACAAAAAAATTACTAACTTTTTAGAAGAAAAAAAAAACACTAGATTGGATTATCTTAAATATTTTATATTTTGTTAAAAAGGTAAACGGGTATAACTTTAGTTTACTTAAAGTATAATTATTAATTTTTCTTGATATTGCACAAAAAGCATTCTTTAAAATCGTATTTTGTTAAAGTATTTAAAAGTATTCTCTCTATTTTTTCATGCTTACTATAGTGTAAAGTCGATTTATACCATTCATTTTATTTGAAATGTGAATTATTATTGACGCAGTGTACCCAGAGATAATAGAGATATAGCCAGTCATTGATAAAATATAATATTCACAAGATTAATTCGACAATCAATACACTGTGTTTGTACGGACGGGGCGAGGAGACGAAAGGTGAGAGTAAAAGAGGGGATAAAGGGAAGGATTTTACGCAGATACAACTTTTTTATCAATGAATAAATGTGCAAGCTGCTGTGCGCTTATAATAGACAACGTAAATATCCATGCCGGTAAGCCCTGTTGCCACTTCCAACCTAACTTGACTAGCTAATTTAGTAAAATTTGATATGACTAATGATTCAATTTTTTTTGGGTTCAGTTGCCATAAAATAGGTTGAATTATTTTAGCTATTTTAATATATGTAAATAATTTTGTAAAGAAAACGAGAAAAATTAAGTAGGCATATGACAAAAGCGGATATTATACCCTCCTGTGTCCCTTATTCAGGACCGCACGATATTTGTTAGTAGTTACATCTCCTGTTATCTCTGAGAGTACCTTACCATTCGATCATATTTTACCATTTCCCAGTAACTTATTTTAAAGGCAAAGGCACTGTTCATATTATATTATAAAGAGTGATCTATAAAAAATATTTCTGAATTATGCCATGACCGACAAAGACAGAGATACATACGAGTCATGTCCGTGATATCTATGCACAATCAAACATAAGCCATTAGGCTTCAATTTTATCTCAGACTAAGTCAGGAAAAAATAAATTAATAAATAGTTATTTATGCAACAGGTACAAAAAGTAAGTGTTTATTGCACGCGACGTGAAATTGATAACACGTCGAGTGCAATAACCACTTTTTGCACGAGTTGCATACAATATTGTTACGCAGCACCCTGCAGTAGCCTGCGGCTATCATAGGAAACGTACAGATAGAAAAAGAAGTGGAATGTTCCAGAAATGTCATTACCCATCAAGAACATTCTAGATGACAGGTCGAGAAGGATCGAGAAGGTCAAGCAAGCTATATAAGTCGACGACCTGCCGTCAGAGTTTCAGTTTTATGATAGACGTTACATGTTAATGTTATCAGTTGTATCGTTATTGTTAATGTTGAATTGAGTTATTGTAAATTTGAATTGAAATAAATTGTGATACCAAAAACCATGCAAAAACCAAAAAATGTTTTATTTAGGCGACACTAAGTGCAGAAGCATAAAAAGCGTAATTTAATAGCAAAATATTTAATAACTAATACTTAGCATGGATTAACATTGAAAAAGTACTATAACTATGTTTAACCAAAACTTTAGGAACAACTGTATTATGAACAATAATTAAGCTAAAACATTGTTTTGCTACTAATATTAAAAGTAAATGTACAATTTGTACAATTGTCAATATTAATATTTTTTATGTCTATCATGATCATAAAACGCTGTAGTAAAATGACAGATGAGTGCAATAAAATTTTTATTGCACTAGTACAATAAAGAACCAGTTTTTTCACTAAATATAGTTCAATAAAGTTTTGTTTTTGCATGAACGCAGAAAAATAATATTTCGAACCTATTGCAGATCATTTTTATTATGTAATTATTTTTTAGTGAAAATTATAATTTTTTTTTCAGGTTGCGTAGACGAACTGCAGTCCAAAGCACTCTCGCCCCGCATTTGTGACGGCGTGATCGATTGCCAGGATGTGTCAGACGAAAAATCCTGTAGTTATTGCCCAAAAAACCATCTCCATTGCGGAATTGGTAGAGTATGCATTTCCAAAATCAAGAGATGCGATGGCCATATCGATTGCCCGGATGGAAGCGACGAAAGGGGTTGTCGTAAGTTTCTTTTCAAATACATATAAACAATGAAACTAGAAGTCAAAGGTTAAAAAAAATTGAATTAAAATTGCAGCCACCAGTTTTAGTCTATAAAAGCCATCATGAGGCCTGCAAGAAATGGCTGAATTCTAATGAACACTAAACCATTACAACCGGTACCGATAACATCTTAAAATATCTTCATATTTGTGAGTCAAAAATGACTTCTTGTTCTACCACCTTCCCACGTAATGTATTTTCATTATATTTTGTTTGAAAAGAAACAATCTGTGCTGTTGTTTTTGAATTATTTTCATTCACTACATGGACCCTTAAAGAAGTTCTCAATATATTTGGGTCATCTCTTATAAGCCGAAAGTAATATTTAATTCCGATGTACAAATGCAAGTCAAATGTCTCATTATTATTTAAATTCATTTCAATCAATAATAAAATTTCTTGTCTACTTACAATAGCTCTAATCTAAAAGAAATATTAAGAAATATCTACTGCCACTTTTGGATGTGAGATTTAAGTCAATCAGAAACATCTCAGTATTCTTAGATCTAATCTTTGGACAACAATACTCACAAAAAAACAATAGAACTTGATTGTCTATTTGTTTGTGTAAAAGGAAAATTAAGGCTTGTTAGAAAGAATTTGATTGTATCTAAATCCGGAAGTTTAGTATACGAGCTGCACCAAAAAGTGTATTCGAGGTGGTCATGCGTATATAATATACCTACACTGTGATTCATTTTTTAACTATTAATAATTTTTTACCTGTTGCACCTATTTTATTAGTTTTTGGAGGGCAAGTGAACTAGTACATTATTTCTAGAATTTCCAGTTGTAATGAAATTTGTTTAGATAAAATTGGACGTACAAGACTTTTTTAAAATTGCCGCATTTAATCTCATTGCCAAAGAAGCCGAATTTACCAAAAATTGAGCAAATTCGTTTTTCCTGTAAACTGTCAATAACGTATCAGTAAAAGTGAAATTGCCAAAAAGTTTGGGATGTAGGAATTTATAATTATTTTTGTAAAATACGGAGGGCGTCATGGATTTATATCTGAGATTATTAAGAAATTTCTATACTGAGAGCTACAGAAACTTCGAGTTGGCTTTAAAAACTAAAAATTATAAACATGGAAGTTACCATGGTTACTAAATTGGTTACTGTCAACCAAATTAGTCAAAATTATGGCTGTTGTTATCGATAGATCACATTTTAATAAAAAATTGAATCAAATGTTTATGTTTCTTGGAGACTCAAAAGAATTGGAAAATCCTAACAGTTGGAAACTTTTTTAAACATATCAGTGAGACAAATAACTCTATTTGAATTAAAGCTGCAGTTGGATTCTCATCTTTCAATACGTGTCGTATCGAGACGTGTATCTTCGTTCGATAGATTGCGATTCTTATGTTATGTTTCTATTTAATACAAAATATAAGTTCGCGCATAAGAAGAAGAAGAGGCGGAAGAATAAGAGGTGGAAGAAGAAGTAAAAGAAGAGAAAAATAAGAGAAGAAGAAGAAGAAGAAGAAGAAGAAGAAGAAGAAGAAGAAGAAGAAGAAGAAGAAGAAGAAGAAGAAGAAGAAGAAGAAGAAGAAGAAGAAGAAGAAGAAGAAAAAGAAAAAGAAGAAGAAGAAGAAGAAGAAGAAGAAGAAGAAGAAGAAAAAGAAGAAGAAGAAGAAGAAGAATAAGAAGAAGAAGAAGAAGAAGAAGAAGAAGAAGAAAAAGAAAAAGAAGAAGAAAAAGAAGAAGAAGAAGAAGAAATTTACATAATTGTGAAAAATGTTCCTTCTGAATCCACTGTAAACAAAAAAAAAATTGAAGCAAAGGAGAATAAGAAATATTGGGTACGAAACATTTTATGATTGGCAACTAATAGTGTAGAAAAAAGTATTTTGTTGAAAGCTCAGAATAATACAGAGAGGACAGTAAACAATTTTTTTGTCGCCTTGATATCGCATGAAAGATTCTAATTAGAGAGAAATATATTAATATATCTATTTCTATCTCTATATTTATTTTTCCAGGTATTTTTAGACAATTTTTTAAGTTTTCACTTAAATTCGTTCTACGGTGGTGTTAAAAGTGACTTTGATTTGTAGGGTTTATTTTATACTAGGAAAAGACTTGTGTTTTATGTGATTTTAAATATAAAAGAGGAAGTGAGGTTACGTTTCACTCGTTAATATTATTTCTTACCGAAGAACATGGGCGTCGTTTTAGGAGAAAAAAGGAAAATAAAATATGCATATTAAAAAATTAAATTATTATTAGTGTTCTAAAATACGAATTAGAAGAAACTTATGATTAGAGGCACTTGAATGGACTGAAATGTTAGAAGTTGAACGAATATATTACATTTGTTCAATGCACTTTTTAGAGTACGGCTTTGCTGCAACAAATATATTTATAAGTTTGTACGTTTCTAAATAATATCGAGCACTTTAAAAAATTGTATCTTTACTTTTTAGGAACTTTGTATTACACAAACAAAGTAGGGAAAAAAGAGTAGTGGTGAACCTATATCACCTTAAAAAAATAGAAGGTATTGTGTTCAATAAATTTGGCGAACCAATAATATGTTTGAATGTTTTTAGTATAGTAATTTCTTCAGATACTAAATTATTTGATTATGGGCCTTCTTTAAGAGTATTAAACTTGCCAACAAATAAAAGAAGTTATAGTTTGAACAAAAGTACCTTGTACACTTCAATATTAAGTTCAAGGTATGACTCTGAAATTCTCATCAATAAAATTTGAGTCACCAATAATTAAGAAGTAAATCAAACATTGGATTTGATCTAAGCTGATACATTAAATTGTATATGAATACCTATTTCAGAAAACCTAGACATTGAAGTTTCTAGAAAATCGGTCATTACGAAGACTTTTTTGTTGCCAACAGTACTGCTTTAAACTTACTAAACAGAAATTACAGACACAATTAAGATGAGTGAAAAAGTATTTGCAATATCAAAAAAATTATTAGTTTTTGGACGCATACTGTATATATTTGTACATGGTCTAAAATATAAACTATCATTAGTAATATAAGAATATTTAGTTACCTAATTTAAATAAAGTAACTAGATAATTTATATTTTAAATGAAGTCATTAGAAAAGTAAATTAAATTCCTATATATTTTTTTAATATCCTGAAGTACTTCTACTTATGCTAAATAGGTAAATATATTGGTTTGTTTTATTCTTATTAGGAATATTTTGTCATGTTTAAAGTAATGCTTTGTGTATTTCTTTAGTTCTACCATTGTATAGCTTTTCAACAGGTATAGATATTTTATAGAATTCCAAATCCTTGCTGTAATTCTAAATATTTTAGAAGCAATAAAATATTCATTATATTTTTTGACATGACAATAATATCATATTTTGTTTTCAGTTCAATAAAAACGTACCTATCTTTTAAAATAATATTTTGTACTTTTTTAATCTATTTGCAGTCACTATTTTCACATTTAAAATAACCCAATGCAATCCGTTTACGTACGCTACTGCTGAAGATTCTAACATGAGCGAGAAAGCCTGCATTAGAAAAAGAAACAATGATTTTATTAGAGCGACATCAACATTGTATAGATTTTTACAGGGGTAGCCTATCTGTCAATATAAGAAGATTCAGAACAAAAGAGTCCACACAAAAAAATTGTTTTTTTTTCTGTAAAATAAATATACTTTACGTCAATCTAAGAACACGCAAAATGATAAGTTAGACTTAAATGAAACGTTCTCCTAGATAAATAATCGATTGAAAGACCGAATTTTTCAAAATCCATTGTGGTTTCCTTGAGTGTGTCATTGCTTGGAAAACATTTCTATTAGTGAAAGTATCTACTCCAATGGGTACCAGAGAGAGATTTTTCGCTTCAGCTGTCAGAAATATAAGATATCTGATTGTAGATTACTAGATATGGGAACTGTTGGAAAATATGGTCTACCGACAATACAATTATTAATCACGCTCGAATAGCTTAAAGAAAGAATCCTTTCTTGATGGAGTGTGTTTAGCCAACAGAGGTGATCAACAGAGCTAATGATCAGTGGCGTAGACGGTTACAGAAGGTTGTGGTCATATATTCATAGAAAACAATTTTTGAATTCATTGTTAAGTATTTTATAATACTTAAAAAAATAAATAAAATCTCGTGTTTGGTAAACAAAAATAATCATAATTCCTGAATCCCAAAAATGTTTTAACAACAAAAAATGCAGGATTTAGAAAAAAAGTCCTGTACGTAGTAAAAAAATTAATTAGTTAAAATCTGATATTTGGTAAACAAAAATAATCATAATCCGTGAATCTTAAAAATGTTTTAACAACAAAACAGCCCTGTAAATAGGGGTGGCGTAATCAGGGATGCAAGGGGTTGGTTGTACCAATACTAGAACAAAATATTGGAGAAGGTGAGTCATATGCATGATCAACACTGTTGTCTATAAATGAAAATTCCGACGGAGTTAGCATAGCCGGCGTATCAAATACCAAATAATTATTTATTACTTATTAGGTATTTGTTAGTAAACTTTATTAAATTTGTTTGTCAACATCTTTATTTAAACAAAGATGATGCGTTAAATATACGTTTTTGATAGTTTTCAAGAAATGAATATATTTCTTCCCTAATGACTTCGTTATCTGTGTTTAATGATTTTAAAAACACCGCTTTTAAAAATGTGTCATCTCCGCGATGACAAATGAATGTGTTTCAAGTAAATAAACGACAGACGGGTTACAGATTGAATATTGTCAGCACAGGCACAAAGACAGTTGAAAACTAACTTTCGACGAAGTTAGATTTGTATCGCTTTAACTATTTACGATAATTATTTTATATTTTATAAACACTTTTTTGTATAAGTGCTCTTTTCTGATATACGAGTAGGTGTTCATGTTTTTGCCTTACAATTTGGTAGTGGTAGTGCATATTCGAGGAGTTATATTTATTGTGTAGTATATTAGGTAGGTACTTTAAAAGTT